TTGCCTCTGCCTCCTGAGTGCTGGGATTAAAGGCGTGCACCACCACGCCCCACCTTATATTTTATATATTTTTAAAAATTTGTAATAACTGCATGATTAGAAGAAGCATTTCATTACAGCTTTAACATATTCAGTAACACACTCCAGAGCAAGAGTACATCTCTTTCAAAGGTGGCTGTAAATTTCTAGGTTCACAGTTGAACTAATACAGTTATACAATATTGAACTCAGTATAAGCCCTGTAAGACATAAAATTGAATGAGTTTTTAACCTTTAAAAAAGATCTCCATTTCATTTTAGAATATTTTGTTCCTAGCAGAAAGACTCCCTGTTTTTGCTGCTAACACTGAGATATTGGTGCATATATCTCTAATCTATATGTATCTGTTTATTACTAGTCATAATCAGTTGCACTTAGCTCCTTGGTGCCTTTATGTCTATAAAGTCATCGAGTAGATTTCAGTGGTAATGTTTATCACCTCTGTGAATTAACATGATGTAAATTTGTATGTTTCCTTCTCAAATATATTTTTAAAAATTTGTTGATTTTGTGTGTGTGTGTGTGTGTGTGTGTACATCACACAGAACATCCCAAACCATTTTACTCAACTATATACCCACTTCCCAGATGGCACCCTCCCATAGCCTCCCTTCCCCAACTAGAACCCTTATACTCTTCTATCCCTGCTACTGTCTGCTGTGTTGTTGGCACCCCCAGCCATTTCCCACTACTTGCCCTTCTGGTGAATCTAGTCAGCCTATCTAGAGGTCTTTGTTTTGGGAAGGTCAGCTGTTCCTCATCTAGCAGCAACCGTTGTCAATATTCCTTTAGATAAGATTGGGGTCTGCTGTTCATTTTCCCAGTTCTATGCTGGGTTACTATCTGAGAGTCCCTTTGGCCACCCTGGCCAACAACTCAAAAGAAGGTATCTCCTATCTGGCATTGTTGCTTGTTATGTAGCCTTTAGCTATACATATGGACTCTTAAGAAATTATATTGACTCTTTAATCTTTGGTTATAGTTTCCATTTGAGTGTTTAAGGCCATACAGTTGGCCCAGATAAACCAACTTATTTTTACTCTTAAGGTCATTTGAGGATCTGTTCCTCAGGGGTCACATGGGCTTGGGAGGAACCCCTGGCTCCTTTCTTTTACCAGTTCCATCTATGTGAAGATAAGTCAAAGGTCCTGCTCGACCACAGCTGGCTTCTCTTTGAAGCATGGAGGAAATGATTCCTCTGTGTTGACCCTCCTCTTTGTAGACTGGACACTGGTTCAAGTCCATCTCATGGGGTCTCCTTGGCCTCCTTGATCGAGAAGACAGTGTCCCTTAGATTACTGATGGAGAGTATCCCATGAGCTCTCAAGTACATCAGTAACAGAAAAGAAATTAATGAAAATTACTCATTATGATATTTCTTTAGTTGAGAAAGTATTTCCTGGTTTGGTGTTTGAATTAGCAAGCTGTGTGTATTGTGACACCCTATTTTGTAGCTTTGAATCATGATTTGTAGCCCCAAACATATAGGAAGAAAGAACAAAGACTCCCAAGAGCATTCCTTGGGAGCAGAGTAGTAATATCCATGACAGTGTTGGTAAACAACATAACCTCAAACCTATCTTAGTGTAGCATCTTGTTATCTATTTATATACTTACCTTTTTGATGCATTTCCCGCAGAAAACTTGCATAGCTGCCTGGTTCCCTAAGGGAAGAAAAGTTGCAATAAGAAAACTAGTATTTTCTGGGGTTGACTCATTAATGGAGGAAGAAATAAGAAAGTCATGTCTGTCATTGAACTAGTATGGGAAATTTTAATTTCTAATTTGTTTTGGGGGTCTCATTGTATACCAGCTGGCCTGTAGACCATACCAGGCTGACCTTAGTCTCACTGACTCTGACTCCTAAGTCCTGGGATTAAAGGCCTGTGCCATCATGCCTGGCTAAATTTGTTATTACATTGATTTATCTGTTTATTTATATGGAGTATATTCATGCATGTGGGCATGTATATGCATGTATGAGTGCCTTGCTCTGAATGTGGTGGTCAGAGGATAACTTGTGAGGAGCCAGTTCTCTCCGTCCACCGTGTAGGTGCTTGGGATTGAACTCAGGTCATCAGGCTTGGTGGAAAGCATCTTTACCCACTTGGGTCATCTCACTAGCCTGATATCATTTCAAACCTTTCTTAACAGGTGCAGTTTTGGTATCTTTTGTCTGAGCATTCCAGACTCTCTGTTTTCACAAGAACATCATTAGATGGCAGTTTGCAAAAGCAGAGTGAAGTGACCAGACTCTCAGAATCTCAGTGGAGCCAAGCAAAAATTGATCTCTATGCAGAAGATGGAGAATCTATTCTGCCTTTCCAGGTAAGCTATTAATGCACCTAAGCAGAAGATCCTTGTTTAATGCTAATCATTTAGACAGCAAAGTAACACACCCAATGAATATATTCAGTTTTAATAAAGCACAGAAATGTTCAGAGAGAAGTAGATGGATTACTTTGACTTAAGTGCTCAGACTTATGTGGGGCAAAGTAGCAAACATTTGAGATGAGTCTTTCATCTGATGGCTGAGAGGAGAGTGATTCGGAGAGAATTTCAAAGCTGGAAGATGAGGAGGAGTGGCATGAGTTTCTGCCCTCCAGGTGTCATACGGCAGCCTCTACCCTGAACTCACAGCAGCTATGGCTAGCTGTACCCGATTTGTCCTTCTACACTCCATCCTTGATGAAAGAGGTGCGCCTGACCCCCCATACCTATGACTGTTAATGGTTGCTGGAGGAGAGGGGATCATTTTCTCTAATGGTGTAGCTGCTGGGGAATTAGGTGAGAAGAAGACAGGGCTCCGAGGGAAAGGAAGGAGGAAAACAGGGGTATTGGAGGGTGAACATTGTCAGAATACATTCTGTATTTATGGAAATGTGAAAACTAAAGATAAAAGAGAATGTTTTCCTAAGGAAATGCAGTATGTACGAGGCTCAGTAAAGAAAACTTATGTGTTGTCCTTACATTCTAATCCTACTGCTTTTGTCTAATAACACAAAGGATTTTTTACTAACCTTTGGTATAATTATCTTGCTGAATCATAAAAGATGGAGACTGTGGCTCAGTAAATGGATGCAGCAGTTCCTGCCTGCCTTCCTTCTGAATGGTGTTTGATAAAAGCAATTTTAGAAACTAGGTCAGGTGATGGTATTGGAAAGTGCTACCTCCGGAGTCCAGTGTTCTGAGTTCTGATCCTTGGTCCCACTCAGAGAGCTGAGCTACTGCAAGTATTGTCTTTGCACTTCCTGTTTCTGCATCTGCGAAAACCAAGGTGATGGTAAAAGCAATACTACAAAGAGTCTGAGCACTGAATAGAGTGTGTAAAACGGAGGCTGTGGGCATGAGTTACAGAGTGCGGGTTCAAGCCCAAATATCTGATCATAGGGAGCTTCTTTAAGCCTTCTGAGTTTCTGTCTCTTCTAGAATGGGCTGTGATACAGAATGTTGGGCTGGAGTTGACAAATAATACACCTTTATCTAACACTCATTTCTGAACCAGTTGAGATAAGTGTAGAAGGGAAATAGAGAAAAACATATTTTGAAAGCGATGCCTTTAGAATATACAGTCATGCATTTAAAATAAGCCTTGAACTCAGACTAAATGGGATCAATCAGAGTGTATCTGACTGCTGAGTAAATAGCAGGCTCCTGTTGTAGGCAAGCCTTTTATCATAAACAATAAATAATATCAGAATGCATATGTCTTAATGTCTTTTCCTGTTGCTGGGATAAATATTCTGACCCAAACAACTTAAGGGAGAAATTGTCTATTTTGGCTATTTCCAGGTTATAAACCATGATGGCAAGGAAGTTGTGGCAAGGGCTTGAGGGAGCTGGACACATTGAATCCCCAATCAAAAAGGAGAGAGAGAGAGAGAGAGAGAGAGAGAGAGAGAGAGAGAGAGAGAGAGAGAGATGTAAACTTCTACTCAGCTTGCCATCTCTACTTTATGGAGCTCAGAATCCCTGTCCAGGAATGATGCCACCCATAGTTAAGATAGGTCTTCCAACAAAGTCAATTAACAAAATCAAGACAATCCCCAGAGGCAAGCCCAGAGGCCCATCACCCAGGAGATTCTAGATCCTCTCAAACTGACAGTTAATACTGACTATCACAGCTTGTCTCATGGGGATAGGCAGACTCCCAAAAATGAGCCTTGACTGGGAAAGGGGGATGAATTGAGCATGCTCAGTGAATTCTTCTACCCTCACCCATCAGTTAAATGCTTAAACCCTCCATAGGAAAGAGAAGTGTCAGGTAATAGCAGTGTTCCTGTGGAGGAGGTCCTCCCCATAGAAGGAGAAGGAATGTGGAACAAATGCCAACTCTTTGACTGTCCTCTACTTCCTAGACGCATGGTGAGGATTAAGTGTTTAGAAACATACATACTCTTTCGCTGTGGTTATATTGCATCGGAACAATGAATACACAATAAATATTAGGATTCCTTCATATTTTGTCCTTTTGATCAAAACTCTGTTTTCAATAATTAATACTTCCTTACCTTGAGGAAATCTCCTGATTTGATGCCCACATTTAATGGGGAAAGCCACGTTGGTAGCTGTTATTGGGGGAGCGTTTGGCATGGAGGATGGCCATGGACACATTGGTATCATTCTCCACTTCCTGTGACAGGAGATGAACATAAGGGCAATTCTGTTCTTGGCCTCCAGTGCTTGTATTCTGCTAAGCTGTCTTCATTAGGCTTATTTCTTTTTGCATGATGAACGTTTGTCAGAATTTGTTATAATTGAAGTATTGTAGAGTAATCAGAGTGTCTCTTGATAGGACTAGTTATGAGCTGTAATGGGTGCCATTCTTTCTATGACTGGAAGTGCTCAGTGCCTGTTGTTAAAAGAATCTCAGTACATTTTTGACTTTTAGCCAAGAAATTGGCTGTTTTTCTTTGGGGTCTTTTTACCCTAACTGCCTAGCCAATTCCGACCTCCCATTCTTACCACACCATTCTCTGAAGCGGTTACCCAAATTGCCAATAGGGAGTCGGGACGCAGACCACTCTGGCTTCTTCCATGTGCAACAGGAAGTATTTGGGAGCTTTTATCTAATCCTAAAAGATTTTAGGGTTATCTCTTCAGAGGTTAGTCATTCAGAGGGAATGTTAGAGTAGCCAAAAGCTTCATAAAAAAGAAAGAAAGAAAGAAAGAAAGAAAGAAAGAAAGAAAGAAAGAAAGAAAGAAAGAAAGAAAGAAAGAAAGAAAGAAAGAAAGAAAGAAAGAAAGAAAGAAAGAAAGAAAGAAAGAAAGAAAGAAAGAAAGAAAGAAAGAAAGAAAGAAAGAAAGCAGGAGGGAGTGGGCGTGGATTTGATCAAAGCACCTTATATGCAGGTATGAAATTTTCAATAAATTTTTTTAAGTTAAAAAAAAGGAAATTTCAGGATCATCCAGCTGGTAGGGGAGGCATTTTAAGGAGACATTAGACTTTGGTTATGCTTCTGAATTGTGACATGTTTGTGGCCAAAAAATTCAGACAGTGGAGAGGCACGGAACTGAAGGTTGGAACGGGTTATGGAGAGTCCTGTGTCTTATTTCCCTGTCAACTTTGTCCTCGGACATGTGGAAAGCGGGATGTCACTCAGTGGTAAAATATCAAACATTAAATTCGAGACTTCTCAAAAAAAAAAAAAAAGAATCTCAGTACAGTGTAGTCTGTTACCTTTCATTCTGCTTGTCTGGGGATTTGAGTTTTCGGATTTGCTTTGGAAGGCAAATTGAGATTTCTCCTTGTTATGTGAAGTCATGTTTACTAAGTTGGAGATTGCACCACTTTGTAATTTGTTGACAACAGACTGTGATAGTTTCTGACATGACCCTGAGTGGCTGATCTTTCCGTCCCAGTCCTGTGACTAAGCAGAATGTGTTAGTTTTTCTTTCCAACCAGCCTTGATATTGGACTTTTGCTGAGTTTTAGCCATGTCTAATTCACCCAAAGGTAGACAGGAATTTTCCTCCTCACTTTTCTCCCCTTCCTCTAGCCCTCTTACAAGCTGCGTGTAGTATAGATTTGTTTTGGAAATGCAAACAAATAAAAAGAATAGGGGGGGAAAATTCCCTTAATCTTTACCACCAAATTTTGTCATAACATTCTGTAATCTCTACTCATAAATTCAGGAAATTAAATTTGGAAGGCAGTAGCTTTGAAAATGAATTGATAGGGCAAAAGTTAACCTAACTTGAATTTATGTGAGGTCTTTTGATGGTTTATTTAGCTGTGGATTTGACTTTACTGTGTTGTATCCATATCTTGGAGTATATCCATAAGAAATACTCTTCAGGCTGTATTAATATACTTAACTTTAAACCATATAAATCCCATGCCCATCTAATGCCATACACATTGGATAGGAGTTGTGGCCTTCTGTTAAGTTTTATTAGTGAGTCAGTTCAGATTTTATACAAGTATACATATATTCACAAGGTGTATAAAAATACACACAGTCGGGGCTGGAGAGATAGCTTAGTGTTTAAGAGCACTGACTGCTCTTGCAGAGGACCCAGGTTCGATTCCCAGCACCCACATCACAGCTAGGAACCGTCCTCAACTCCAGTTCCAGGGGAATCTGAAGCCCTCTTCTGACCTCTGTGGCACACATGGGTACTCTCACATACATGCAGGCAATACACTCATACACATAAAATAAAAATAAATAAACACAGTCACATGGATATATCAACATATTTTATTTACTACATCAGTGTGACATAATTTTTTAAAAAATGTTTTAAGCTAGTAGTAAACAAAGAGAAATAAACACACATGCATCTCAGAATTATTTAATGTCATTTATTTTCTTTTAATACTAATGTTGACTGTGCAGAAGCAGTTTTGGTCTCGTTCACTTCTTTGTCCTCTGTCAGAAGAAAAATACTAATATTATGTTGGCTTTAATCTGGTTCCTCTATATTTTAAAATTATGAAATTACACAGGCGAATTCAAGCTATGTGTAATTCATGTATCAACAATAAATAAAGATGATATTGTGCCAACCAGTTGTCTATCTAGGGTTTAAGTTTACAAATATTTAAAGTGGATTTTTTTTTTTTTAGAAACAGGCCAAGATTTGGGCACCTTAAGTTTGGTTGACTGCATCATTTAAAGGTGGCCTTAATCTTGGTCTGGTCATCAGCTCAACATGGTTAAGCTGTGAACCTATTTGTACAGGGTCATCAGGGTGAGCCAATCCTGTACATGTACTAGAAAGAAGAAAGGTACTGGATTATGAGACTTATGCATTTCATTTTATCCATGAAATTTGGATGCAGTGTGGTGCTTTGATGTGAACTGGAGACCATAACAGATTAC